TGTGTGTGTGTGTGTGTGTGTGCGTGCGTGTGTGTATGCCTTGTGGACTTTGTGACTTAAAATTGAGTTCTTCTATCCCTGAGCGCAAGAGGAATATAATCATAAACATAATATTGCAATTTTGTTGTAGTTGCAATCTGGTTTAATTTTGGAGCCGTAACACAAGTAGTCTAACAATGGTCTCGACCAATGAGTCTAAATAGGTCTTGTTATTTAAAACAAAAATCGTTATATTCTCTCATATCTCCAAGTGACTTGTAATATTTGAAAACTAATGTTCTTAGTTTTTCTCTATCCAGAAAGGTATCACTTCATTTAAAATATTTCCCCAAAATATCATGCAGCAGAGTAATTTGCTGAGTTTTCCAAGCTCTGTGATTTTCTGCAAAGATCTTAAGCTGAATTCCTGTTTAACTCGGTCAAATATTGATGAGAGTTTTAGGTTTAAAATGTGGTATATAGGGATGCAAGTGTCTTTTCATACGACAGAGTCAAATAAAAATGCGTTGGCAAATCATCAGAATACCCAGCAAACGGAGAGTTAAGTAAAAAAACAAAAACAAACAACAACCAAAAAACAACAACAACCTAGCTAATCGATGAGTTTTGATTTTAATCCGCTAGCTGATCTCGAGTAACTTAACTGAATCCAATGCATCCAATGCGTCGCTAAAATAGTTTGAAATAATAGATTATGAGTTTGTTCATGACGACGGCAAAATTAATCAATATAATATAATTAGTCTCTGCTTACTGATCTGAAAATTGATTCCCTGGGATTGAACCCAAAACTTAAATAAATAAGGTTTACCAGATTTCGTTTTGAATCATTGTTTGGAAACCTTTAACGACAACGAGCAATTTAAGTCCAAAATAGAATTCATTTTATGAACCAACCGTGGTTCATAGTCTCGTAAAGTGTGCAGCATTTATTTCAGCTATTTTATTGTTCATAATTAAAAGAAAGGGATCAATATGCTGATAAAAACGAAAATGTCACATGTAGTTCACAGGGAATTGATTGGCAATTATCGATTTGACATGCAGCAAAACTTGATCTCTTTAGAAAAGAATATTACGTAATGAAATTTGATCATAAAACTTTTAAGTGTTTCAAAGATGGATGCAGTCTAAATTTCAGCATCTCTCAATTTGTTCTTCAGAATTATAAATGTAGCATGCTTCAGAGCTGAAGGAGAGTGGGGTGACTGGGGACTCAAGTTTCTACTGTGTTTTGTTTTGTTTTGTTTTATTCTATTTTTAAAAAATGTGGGAATCATTTTAATACAGGGCGTTAAATGAATCCCTACTTAGCAACATATTTGAGACCATGATGATGATGATAAAGATGATGATTTCTAAAGTAAAATAAACAAAATTGCCCATACTACAAAGGTATATTACACATTATTACACTTCCATATAACTTCATAGTTCAGTTACGACCTTGTTGCCCCTCACTCTCCACTCAATACTAAAGAGATGGACTGGACACGTCAAAACCAACACAATCATTATTATTATCTCCTCTCTTGTGGTGGGATCGTCTTCAGCAATGGCTCAGAGTGATAGCGAGCGAGTCGTTGTTATCTTTGCGCCTTATTTACTGGCCAGGACACAACATTGGTACTGCAGAAGGATCGTATTGGCACGTGGTCAAAGATTATACCAACTGTACACCGGAAACAAATAAAGAAATCGAATTCATTTGTTCGGGTCGGGGGCAGACAGAGTGTCCTCCATAGATGGGACAAAAGGTATCTTTTTTTTTGGACACGATACGACCAAATTGAGTTGCGACCTTGAAAAAAAACTTTTTTATGTCTCATCCATGAAGAAATAAATTTAGCTGGTCCCGACTCAAAATGGTGAATTCGATTTGCAGTGTACACATGTCGACATTTTCATTTTGAACTTGTCGAAAATGCAGGCGTCATCACCAGCATCTGAGATGTAGCTGTTAGGAGCTCATCGTTGCCGGCAGAAGACATAAGTTCCATTCCTAGGAGGGAAGGCTTTGTTTTGTTTTAATGGAGTACCTAAGTCTGTTTGCTGGAGCGAAGTATTCCTTTCAGCCCAGGTTGGCCCTGACAGGCAGGGTCGAAGCAGCGCCCCCCGAAAGATCTAAATTGATTCGATGGGGCGTAGAATATTAATTTACAATATGTTGTTTTCATGTTTTATTCGTGATCATAAGGTATTGAATTGCTGATGGTTGGAGAGTGTCACAGGCTGATCCTACTTCTTTTCCTCTTTGCCTTGTGTGGACACATCTCATTATTAGTCTTTTTTCTTTTCGACGAATTCTGACATTTCTGTGGTAGCACCACATTTCAAAAGCAATACTTTGTTTTTTCTTACTTCATAATTACTTTGTTAAGGTCCACATCTCAGCACCATATAGGAATATGCGGAAGATGTAGCACTCCACCGTTTTCTTTCGTAAAGGTAAAGATAATTGCCTGGATATAAATAGTTTGAGCATTTGGCTAAATCTTGCTTTTGCTTTTGCTCTTCTTATATTGATTTCTTTTCACTTCTGCATGTATTTGTCTCAGATTGTTGCCCCCTAAATATTTACCTTGATGTACTTGTTCAATTCTCTCCCTATCTATGGTTATGTCTGTTGTTTTTCCAGTTGGTTTTGACATGGCAATTGGTTATTTTGTGTCTTGGCGTTCATGTCGAGACGTGGCTTGCTGCTAATCTCTTTTCTCTTTTAGTGCTACCACAATTTCAGAGAGATTTTCATTCATGTCTGCAAGCAGGACTGTATCATCTGCGCATCATAGGTTATTAATGTTGCGGCCACCAATAATGACTCCCTGTATACATTGAGATTCTCCCCAAAAAAATCTGTGGAGGTGTTAAAGAGATAGGGAACGAGGAAACAACCTTGTACAACTCCTGTATGGGTTTTAGTATAATTTGATAGTTCATTATCAATTTTAAATGTTGCCTTCTGCGATGAAAAAATGGAGAAATAGTAAAGGTATAATGCCGATATCAACACTATTAAGCCACTAAAAGGGGCGGGACCTCCGAGTTCAACGTCGGTCTGGGAAAAGACAAGAAAATAACTTCTTCTTATTTATTTATTTATTTGTTTATTTATTTATTTATTTATTTATCTATTTATTTATTTATTTAT